CCCCAAAACCCCAAAACCCCAAAACCCCATCTGCCATCCATTACATTAGTTTTTAAAAAATCGAAATCTAATATATTCTAAAATTCCAGATTATATCTAGTTTTCAATTGATTTTATTTTCTGCTGTTTCCTATGAAATCAAACTAGTCTCACATTCTTCGTCATCATTTTCATTTTTATTTTCATTGTTGAGTAAATCAAACTTTACAAAGAAGTAATGAGTTACTCCAAATAACAGGAATCCAATAATCATACACACAGCAGTCTTAATTATAATCAATATAGCAATATCAAGTTGAAATTTAATCAAGATTATAAGACCTGGAAGACCACAGAGTAGTCCAATAATTACGAATCTTAGTAAAACCTTTTTAATAGATGTCTTATACATATCAGGCCATGTTGCTCCAAATTATCTCCTATTGGAAATCAAGGCTAGATAAGAGGTATAAACAATAACTGTGATTGAAGCAAAAAGAACTGATTTATCATTGAACATTTGCCTAGTACCTGCTTCTATGTTTGAGCATTTTAAGTAAATTCTTTGCTCCCAAATAGGATCAGCTGTGAATGTTACATCGACAATAATATAAGTCAAAATTTGGATAAAATAAACAGTCAAAAATAATGCAGTCGCTACAATGATGGATTAGGTAATGTTAAAGTTCTTTCTTTGCTGGTATCTTGACTTTCTATGAATGACTGTTTCAATATGATCTATTATAAATTCTCTAAAGCAATAGTGATTATAAAGTGCTATCCAAATACCTAATAACCATCCATATAATATCTAGTTCATTGAATGAGCACCTACATATAATCTTGCAAAACCAATCAGTATAAACATAAAAACGCATCCAAAGAGTGAGAGCAGCCATTTAGTCTAACTTTCTTTTCTCTTTTAAGAATCTATATGCCATACATCTAGGTAAATAAACATAAAGAAGGCAGCAGAAAACAGCGAGTGTCCACTAGGGTTACCATACTCAGCAGTGCAACTTTCTAAAGAATTAATTTCATCATCTACAAAATATGGTCTTGGCTGATGATAGAGCATTTTAGTAGTATTCATTAGGAACAGACACTCTGAAAGGAAGAGTAAGTGGTAGAATGAATGTGATCTCGAGTTCCAGTTAAATATCAACACAAATATCACAATATATAAGGCTCCAGCTCCCATTTTACTCAACCAGTCAAAAACAAAAACTCCAGCTGAAGTCTTATTGCTTTGAATATCTTTGATAATGGGAAGGGAGGCGTCAAATAAAATTTGACCATAAAATATTTCAGATACAACAAGGACTATAAATGCAAGAATGAAACCACAATGAAATTTTATTTATTAGCTCTTCATTATTGTATTAATTATATCAGAACTTTACAATATCTTAGTTTATCTTTAGCGGGGTTTTGGGGTTTTGGGGTTTTGGGG